ACACGGCCGCACATTTGGCAGAGGCACCTCCAAAGCGCACACGGCCACACATCTGGGCGGCGGCAGCCTGCGGCGGCACCAGCACCGCACGCAGGCACCCCTTCCTATACCGAATAGGCCTCGCTATCTGGGGAGTAAGTAAATAAATAAATGTCTATGGCTACGCTCTCTGTTTACTGCACTTTGTGTATGCACGTACGATGCAAGGCCATCCCCTTTGAAGTTGATCCATTCAGAAGGCACCTGCCTCAGCAACATCAATGTTTTTGCGTCTTCGCTATTCTAGCTTGGTTTCTTTACAGGCATTGCCTTCTCAATGGATTGGATGATATTGGCCACAGCCTTGGATTATGCCTCGAACTGCCAAAGCACAGGGTTTTCCAAAAGTTTGCCTTTGTGAGGCCTCACCCTGCAGAAAGCAGAGCACATCGACAGCTTCGAGGAAACTAAAGTAAAGAACGAACACGATATCACTCCATGAAATTAACATTTTTTAAGCCTCTGGACATTCCTTACATTGGATGAGAATTGATGGGCGGGGCTTGTGCTTGACGGCAAAAGTGTGCCTGTCCATGTGTTGTGAATGGCGAGGCTAGACGAAGCTCGACTTTCCCCTGGCTGGACCGAAATCTACTGTTTTGTGCTGCCCATGTGTTGCACAAGAAGATACATATTCTTAGTGAGGATGGGCCAAGATACTCCCGGATGAAAGCAGAAGTTCGCATCAGCACTGCGAAGGCTTTGTTTGTATAATAGATTCTTGCCTTTTGTGCGCGCACACACAGAACACAGATGCTTTGCACCAATGCTTCAACCCGTGCAGTCATCATCCTTTTACACGCGGGTGGCGAAGGGCTTTTTGGCCAGTGCCTGAACAAGCTTGTGTTCATCTAGCAAGCCAGCAAGCAGAGTGCGTGATGTGCGTTGGTTTGAGACGTTTGGCTCAGGGCGGCTTGCCAGCTTCTGATGACCGGCCAGAACGTCCTCCAGCAGCACAGGTTGTGGCTGCGCCATTGTCAGCATATAAATGTTGATGCATGTTGATGCGACGATGCTGCTTGCACTGTCTTCAGTCTGCAACGCTTTCTCTGTGTTCAGTTTCATGCTTTGTCAGCTCATCTTGTCTGCGACCGGCAATGCCATCGAACGTGCTGTTCGTGTGGCACAAGATCTGAAGGTGCTTTGAGAAACTGCCACATAATATCATATTATATCATATATCCCAGTAAGTAGTATGTGAAGAGATTTCGTTCTTGTTCAATAGCAGTGCACACATGTGCACACTAGGCCCTAGGCAATATCCAGCATGGTTGAGTGAATGACTGGAAACTTGTGATGCCTGGACATTTGTCCCGAGATTGAGCAGGAAGAGGGTGATGCTGAGATCATTCGCATACGGACTCAAACTGCTTGGCACCTACTGAAGTGTAACTTGATGTCCGGAGTCGACGGATAGAGCCCCGGTTCCGAAACTGCATTGCGTTCCAAAAGTAGTTTTAGTTGGTCGGATTTCGAAATAACTCAGTTTCAGAATCAATCCGGCTGTAACTCGAAGTGGACTGTATCGCGTTCCTCTTTGGACGTTTGTCATGCTTTGCTTCAGTGACTAATGTGTCAAAAGCTTGTTTGAATTGTGCTGATATTGACAGACGAGCTCAGGTCGCAGGATCGAACCAGGGCGGACAAGTACCCCAGGTTGATTGGCTATGTTTGGGATGCCTGAACCTCCATGTGCTCATTCTGATCCATCACTTAGGTTCTTATCACAGTGAAGGCAAAATCGTTCTGGCCTTAACATCTAGATTAATGTCCACGGCATACATTCATAAAATACACAGTACTTCCTCATGCTAGAAAAGCAAAGCAGTTCGAGCTTCGAGAATTTGCTGTGTGGGTGTTCTCCAAGGAAGCCACATGCTGTGCCTGTGATGGTAGCTAGTAAAGGCGGTGCGAAAGAAGGCTTCGATGGACAAAGGGGGCATTGCGTATGTTCGTCTGGATGTTTGGCTGCTTCAATGAATTTCAGTCTCCTGTACAGGCAGCAATGGAAAGCAAGGAACTGATTGGTAGAGTCGCCCGATACTCCGGCAGAGTTACGAGAGAACCGTAATTGACACAAGTCTTACATGCTTAGGCAGATTTGTATTTTGCATTTCCGCCAGGAATTCAGTCCTACCTTGCACCGTTGCATCGCTTTTCACCAAGTGAAGAATGTAGGCGTTAAATCATTTTGAAGATTTTGTTTTTTTCTGCCTGTCCTTTTCAAGGGGGCAGTGAGAGGGTTTCTTATTTGCAAGCCTGCAGCAGTATGAGTCGATGAACCAAAATAATTGTTACTGCAATCCCTTCCAAAAGTGGCTTGGCCAAGAAACCTGCTACCGCTCAGAGGAGTTTTTCTTTCACTGAGTCACAAAGTGTGCTACAACCTCAAGCGTCATTAATTTGGGCTACGGTCGCTATGTACTGTCTTCACGTCGCTGACCACTTCGTTGACTTTGTAGGGCTTTTGTGTATCGTACGAATCACGGCAGATGGAGCGAGTGAATTCATGAGGAGCACGAACGCTACTAGGAGCTTCTGGCCTTGCTACTAGAAGCAAGGACGCTTTTGGCGGCTCTTTTCGGCACGTCTCCAGGAGCCACGGAGCCCCGTTTGTAGCGTCCTTGCTCCGTTCGTAGTAAGGCCAGGAGCCCCGTTTGTAGCGTTCGTGCTGACCAGATTCTTTGAGGGCCCCAAATTCCTGTTCGCACTTTCAGTATGTCACACTTCTTCACATTAGAGAGAAATGTATTTCGCCGTGGCGACTTCTCACTGTCATCTCAGAGTTGGCATCCTTCTGGACAATAGCTCGCAGGTGGGTACACATACATGTCACCATACACCACTATACGCCCTTCATTTTCCTTTTTGTTCTGGAGTCCAATTTTGTAGGCCATGTAACACGGATGAGAAGAGTTGCAGTGGCATGTTTAGTATGCCTGTGCCACCACTCTTCAGCTCATGATGATTGAGTTTATCCCAATCCTGGCCCCTGATACCATTGCTGCTGCGAATATGAGCAGCCACTGCTATTGCAACCACTGTGGATTCATAAACACTTTGCATTTTCTGTGCAGCCTCCGCCTGCCGATACCAGCCCTGACAGCTTACCAACCTGTTGATAGATGAAGGCTCAATGACAGGACATGCTGTTTGATATTGCTATGACTTGACTTGATTGACTTGCTTTGGATTTGCAGCTCAACCCATTCTGCAAGATCAAATTTGGAGTGAGGGATCACAACTTATGATACATAAAAACAGCAAACTGCGTTAGCAATGGCAGCCATGGACAGAGATGAAATTCACCACAAGATGAGCAAGAAGGCTTCCAGCTCTTGCATTTATTTTGCTTTAGTTGACATGGTTCATTGGTCTGCAGGTTGCTCAGCTTACGAAAGTTATATTCCATCTCAATACAAGAAATGATGAGGCCAGAATCTCAAAGGGCACGACACTTCGGTGGTGTTGTGGAGTGGTGTCGCTGTTGTTTACAGTCATGGGCCAGCTCAACTACTACGCCAGTCGCAGAAGCTCAAATGCAATGTACACGGCTAGTCTGACTTCCGCAAGGCCGACCAACATTTGGCAGCGGTTTGCCAGGCTTGGTTATTTTTTTGAATGGTTTTGTGAATGTGAATCTGAAAAACTCATCAACACACTCGAATCCATGAGGCTTACGAAAGTGAAGTGGACCAAATTCTGAAGGATGCAAATGCAAAGGTGCAGAAGCTTGCTGAGGCGAGCCGCTAAGCGACTTGACAATTTGAACTTTGACAATCTCTCACACAGAACGTGCGCTGAGGCAGTTGAGTGGGGTTCCAAGATGTATGTTTCAAGCGTTTCAACCAGTTTCTTGCATTTGGCGAGCTTTAGTAGCTGAGGAGTGGTCATGGAAGCAAGGCAGCCAAGCAGCTGGATGCTTTTAGAAGCAATTACGAAGATGAAAAACGTCTGAATCCTGATGGATGGCTCAGTACATGCTTGCAGCATGCTTGCCATGCTTGCAACATCCAATGTATGTTTCTTGTTCAGAAATGAGGTGAAGCGTTGCGAGAGATTCAGAATGTCAAATCTTCTGCTACTGCCGATCTCCCAGTCTTATGATCCCACCATATTCCCCGCGTCAAAAGACTAGAGTCTAGAGAGGTGTGCAACTAAGGCACGTGAGAACAAAAACACAGCAATGTGGAAAGAGCGCCTCAGCAACATGAATGCAGAGGTTCGACTATTTTAGCATGTTGATCACACCAGCAAGTTGCCCAACGCATTTTTGACCACTGTAACATTTGGAAGGTGCATGCGCTGAAGCAGCAGTGCCAAGTACAAGCCTCTCAGTACAAAGCGGCTTTGGACCGAATTCAGGCCTTTCGGGTCATTCTGCAGTATCGTTCTTTTTAGTCTAGACATTGTATGTTGCTTGCATGGGAGCTGCTTCACACCTTTTCTATGCAGTATCCATCCTTTGCCAGGATGGGCAAGGTGCTGAGATTGCAGAGCTCCAGTCCACTCATCAATCTGAATTGCAGTTCCTCCGTACAAAGCATAAGGCACAGACACACCACAGCTTTTCAGCTTTTCTGATGAAAAAACAATGGCCTTTCCTTCGAATTGTCTGACGACGTAAGTATCCGGAGTATCAACAATACTAAGTATCTCAAAAGACCTAGGAACCAAATCAACCATTCAAAGCCCGAGCTTTCTGAGTTCCAGTAGGTAAATCGCAAACTCTTGCTTGTCAGTAAGCTTGCCTAGCTTTTGAGCCGAAGCAGTTTGGCTTTCTAAGCTCCCTGAGCTGGGAGCTTTTTGGTCTTGCCGATCAGGCCGAAGTTGACAGTCTGATTGAAGCTCACGAAACATCAGAGGCGTGTGAGCTGTACTGACTTCTCCAAGGAAGAAGAAAGAGAAAGAGAAAGAGAAAGAGAAAGAGAAAGAGAAAGAGAAAGAGAAAGAGAAAGAGAAAGAGAAAGAGAAAGAGAAAGAGCAAGAGAAAGGGAAAGGGAAAGGGAAAAGAGAAAAGAGAACAGAGAACAGAGAAAGAGATAAGAGATAGAGACAGAAGAAAGAAGGAAGCTTCTTGTTTTGGTGAAGGAATATGAAGAAGCTAGAGACCAACTAGCCATAGACGGCTGTTCTTGAGCACTCTGCTGAGACATACCGCAAGAGCCGATAAGAGCCGTGCGTTTCTTCATAGGAAGTTCCTCTGGACCGTCACGAATAAACATGCCCTGACAGAGTTTCTCTACCTCAGTTTACAAAGCTTAGATTCCGGAGTAGGATATCCATGGGTGAGGTGGCCATAGTCTCAACTCTCAGCCTTAGCCTTCCAAACAACTGCAAAGCAAAGGATGGTTTGATAGTTCCACAGTTCCAGGATTTCAGTCACCAGGCCTGCCTTTATGAAGACTTGCTGGCCCTTATGTATTCGGATTCAATGGTTTGCCCTCTAAACATGATCTCTAGACTCCAACCGTTTGAACAGCGGATCAGCAAACCACTTCGTTCTTTCAGTAGCTTCACATCCCAGTCAAGTCCCACACCATGCATTGATGAGGTTGGGGTATCAAAAATGTATCAGCAAATGTGCAGCTAACATCAGCTAACGTGAAGTCGAAGAAGCTTGGGTAGCATGTTGCAGAAGGGTTGACACTTTGAACTGGCAATCAGAAAGAAGGTCCAAGAAAATCTGCTGCTCGTGGTAACTGCTCCAGATGCTGTACATGTTTTTGATCTCGATGCACTTTGAGGCGGCGCTGAAGGCCGAGATCGAAGAGCAAAAGGCTTGCTTCGGTCGCTTGATTTTTCTTCTTTCACGAAAGCCAGCTGATAGGGTAGGCGAGAGTTGTTTAGGGAACGAAGTGAAGAGTAAGGGGGTGTGGGGTCCCTGTGGGGCATGAGCGAGCCAAATAGTAGCGCCAAGAAATCAATGTTTCGGTCACCGTGTTGTCGCTGGTGCAAAGACCTTGGCTGGCATCATTTGCATTTTCAGTATATACACTTGCAGGTCTCAGGTAGGTCCACGGATGGCTAGCTGGATGGATGGATGGATGGATTTCTTTTTTCTAGGGTGGCTCTTTTGCTGCATGTGCACGAGAGGGTCGTGTTGAACCTGTGGAGGCCGCGTCAGCAGCAGGAGGCAGCTCTAGAAGTACTCGACGTTGTAGAGCTCCTCATCGCTTGCTGTGGGCGAGTTGCCATCCGGCATAGCCAGGCTTGGGCTGGGGTTCATGGCCACATCTGGCTGTGCCGGTGCTCTCGTCAGCCCGGAAGAGTGCCCTGGACAGGAGGTCCCCTGTTGTGGGAGCTGTCGACTCTGCTGGGCTTTGGGTGGGACTGCTGCTGGCTCCTTCTGGCGGGAGTAGCCAGTGAGTGGGAAAGTGTGTCCTCAACCCTGGGCTCTGTTTGACTGGGGCTCCTTTGCATTCCTTCTTCAATGCCTGAGTGGCAATCAGGTGGTTGTCCTTGTCCGTCAGGACTGCCACTCCGCAGTGCTTGCGCGTGACCTTTGTGACCTTGTGCGTGGCATGGCCAATGGTCTCACCTGTGTAGGCTTGGTCAACGCAAGGGCTGGCAATGAAATCCGCAAAGGTCGGCTCCTTAGACCTCTTGAGGATGGCGCAGCCACAATGTTGACACTTGAGGTAGCCGGTGGTCTCGATGGAGTGGTGCTTTCCGGCAGTTCTGTTTGCCGGTTGGTTTTGGAGAATTTCCTGGATGAGCTGAACCCTTGTGGGTTTTTTGGGTAACTTCTCTTCCAGATGTTCTGTGGTGGTGCCAGGCTGGCCACTGTTGATTTTGGCCTCGCAGGGTTCCGTCAGGCGCTGTTCCAGGGTCAAAGCTGTCATTTGTTGGTGTACTCTAGTGCTGCGCAAGGCACATTGGTAGCCGCTGCGATGTTTTGCCCAGGTATGGCCCTCCTCAGTTTGCTGGTTGGTGCGCTTGTTGACAAGCCTCGATGTAGTGTGAGGGATCTTTGTAAATGGCAGATCCTCTCTACAGCTTGTGCATAGACCTGGAGATGGTCATCGTCCAGAACCTGTTGCCAGTCTTCCTTGCTTTGGTCGTACAGCTCTTTTGCTCCCATCCTGTTAAGCCTGCATCACGCTGACGACGTCTGAGATGTGGCTCGGCCCTGGCTGGTCAGGTGTGCTGGCCTTAGCACTGATGTAGAGGGGTATGACTTTCTCTTTGTTTTGTGGTGGGTGCAAAGCGTCAAGATCGGGGAAGGTCACTCCATGCGTCCCACACTGTCACAAGCTGAACCACTATCTTGATGGGCTGAGCTGTGTGCTGTGCAAGCACATGCAAACCATAGTAAAGTGCCCTGGCTTTGGTCTGGTGGCGATCCAGTGATTGCCGCAACCCTCTGAAGTTGTCCCGCGCTGAGGGTGTGAAGGCGCGAGGCGAAGACCCATCCATGGGAACGGAGATCATAGGTGGTGGGCGTGGCATCGATGGTGACCACATAGCCGCGCTGTGCAGCGAGGTCTAGGATCTCCAGGCGCCACAGTCCATGCCCTTTCAAAGAGGATTCTCCAGTCTCATGTTCATAGCGTTCTTTGTTGATCCATCCTCGTGCCCATAGTGGTTCCTCGCCCTGGTCGTTCACCCTTTCGGTCCAGGAAATGGGTGTGGCTTCGACCACGGTGCCGCTTGCGTAGCCAGATGATGTGCTTTGAGGTCGCCAGTGCATGGCGCAATGGGCATTTGTCATCGCCCTGTGGGCTGGTGTATCTTACTCCTCCCTGGACCCATGTCTTCAATGCTGTGGCCTGCTCCTTCTTGGCTTTGCGATGGATCTGGTGGTACACACGCCAGTCTAAACCATCTCGGAGGTGCTGACAGTGTTTGTGTTGTCATAGCCTTCTTAAGCGCTGATGTGCGGGTTGTTGGCGTAGGGTGGCTTCTATCTTCCACGATGGGTCGGTCAAGCCAATGACCATGTCTGGGCCGTAGTCCTGGAGGTCGCGGTGGCAAGTGGGGTTTGTGGAGCTGCCATTGCCACTCCCACATGTATGTGATGACGGCCGCCATAGGGCCTTTGACCTGGTACTGCGGATGTTGTTGGCGTTGAAGGTGTTGTTGAGCTGGTTCTGATCCCCACGGTCTTGGTAGCGCTTGGCATGGAGATCATAGATCACATTGAGGAGGCCTCCTCTGTGGTGGCCAATTGAGGTCCTGTATCTAGGCGCTAAGCCCTGTACTTCAACCCCCCACATTGCCACCGATTGGATGCCTCCCTTGTATAGGCGTAGCCTGTTGCCCAAACTCGGGAGTCGTAGTGATCGTAGTTTGATCTTCCTCTGTAGCGGCTCTTGAGAACAGAAATTTTTCAGAAATCTGCCTGCTGGGTGGTCGATGCCAAGATCACGCATGACCGGTGCAATGGGAGGATCATCTGGTCCAAGTCTGCTTTTGAGTTAGTTGGTGGTGCGCTTGTCGGTGGTGATGAAGGCTGTCTTTTTTGCATTCACCCTCAATCCAGGCTGGTCCAACCTGGCCTTGAGGTCTCTCCACGCTTCGACTGCCTGTTGTGCTGCTCGTCCTGGGTCAGCGTCCGATGTCATCAACCCATCCATTGAGGTGGATGCGTGGAAAGCGCTCCACGAAGGGCTCGGACAGCTCCGCCTCAGCCGAAATGGCTTTAGGGCCAGTGTACAGCCGCAAAGCAAACTACAAGGACAGTGCTGGGTACTCAAGGTCTTGTGCTGCGGCTGCCAGTGTGCGCAGATCGATGCAGTCATAGAATGTGCTCATGTCCATCAGGACTCAAGACGGTGATGCCGTGTCGTCCTCTGCTCTTGTTCTCCTGGCCCTGTCATAGTTCATGCTGAAGGGCAGCCGGATCTGCCATTGATCAAGGAGTTCCTTGCGGAGCTTGCGCCAGAGACGATATACCGTTTATGTCAGGGTGATTGGGTCGTTCGCGCTGCTCATTTTTGGGCAGCATCACAATGAGAATGAGGCTCTGGATCATCTGTGTGGGCAGTTGCCCATGGAGCTCGTAGTGCCTGAGGATTTGGCGTAATTGTGGTAACGTTGGAGCTGAGTAGGTATGCCATCAGGTCCTGCAGCCCTGTCTAGGAGATGTTTGAGCACGTTGCAAGATGACCCAGGGAAATGTCAGGCTCCTTGGCCGCCGGCAAAAGCTGGGCTGCATTTGGCAAGAGTCCAAGCTGGTCCAACCTGGCCTGCAGGTCTCTCCACGCTTCGACTGCCTGTTGCGCTGCTCGTCCTGTGTCAGCGTCCGATGTCATCAACCCATCCATTGAGGTGGATGTGTGGAAATCGCTCCACGAAGGGCCTGCGTGCAGGCGCCAGGTACGCCTTGGCCAGCAAAGGTGCCTGCAGGCATCCTGCAGCCGCCCCACATTGGGTGTAGAAGAACTCGGACAGCTCCGCCTCAGCCGAAATGGCTTTAGGGCCAGTGTACACCTGCAAAGTAAACCACAAGCTCTTGTGCTGCAGCTGCCAGCGCGCAGATTGATGCAGTCATAGAATGCGCTCATGTCCATCAGGACTCAAGACGGTGATGCCGTGTCGTCCTGCTCTTGTTCTCCTGGCCCTGTCATAGTTCACGCTGAAGGGCAGCCGGATCTGCCATTGATCAAGGAGTTCCTTGCGGAGCTTACGCCAGAGACGATATACCGTTTATGTCAGGGTGATTGGTCGTTCGCGCTGCTCATTTTTGGGCGTAGTGCCTGAGGATTTGGCGTAATTGTGGTAACGTAGGAGCTGAGTAGGTACCATCAGGTCCTGCAGCCCTAGATTGACTGCGTGCTCCTTGGCTGCTTGGAGGAGGTGGGGTCAAGCTCTGCCCGAGGAGATGAAGTCTCCTGATACAGCGTGATCGCTACAGATCCAGATCTCCTCGGTGGGGAACATCACACAAAGTGTACAGAGGTTTTGAGATTGTTTGAGAGTCTGAGATCAGCAAGCCAAGTCTGAGATCAGCAGAGTCTGAGATCAGCAAGCCAAGTCTGAGATCAGCAAGCATTCAATGGGTAGCTCAGCAGCCCCATTTTGATTTCCTATCGTATATGTGGTATGTACATGAGGGTTGTTTCAGCACACGATGCAAGGGGAATGCATCAATGATGTGCTGCGCAATGGGTTCACTTGTGTCTGAGGTGACAAAAAGTGCTCATCCAGAATCCAGAGTTGCGGTTAAGTGAAAACGTGACCCTCAAAGATAGAGCAAAAGATGGAGCATTAAATCATTAGGGGTTAAGTGAAAACGCCGCCCTCAATGATGGCTCAGAGTGCTCAGTAATCTAAGCTTTTCGCGTTTTGTTTTCGTCGCCGGTCATGGAGTCAGCTGCGATTGCTGCTTATCTGGATGGGCGAGAGTTTGAGATGCTATGTATTCTAATTTTCGTGAGTGGCATGTTCGTTGGAGGAGTTTTGACGCAGCTATGTTGCCGCCGTTCTGTGCAAGTGGTGATTGATGCAAGGAATCAGCAAGAGTCAATTGGAAAGAAGCAGACAAGAGATGTGAGTGTTGCAGTGAACGAGATGAACCTGCCAGTGTTCGCAGATTGGCTTGATATGCGTGATTCCTACTATAGAACTGAAAAGGGAACAGTGATGCACCTGACACCGTCCTGCAGCTATGCCAAAGGTCGTGCTTTGGCACGCTTTCATTTCTGCCAGAAGTGTTTGATGATGATGTGGCATGAGGAGACATCTGAGATCAGCAAGCCAAGTCTGAGATCAGCGGAGTCTGAGATCAGCAAGCCAAGTCTGGGATCAGCCGAGTCTGAGATCAGCAAGGCACGTC